TAATTTCTCATTCACCAAAAAAATTTCATTTAAAGAATCACTTAAATTGGTCACAGCCAATTTCGAATTTTCCTACAAATTCAACTCTTTTTTTTTTCTTTTTTTCTATTATTCGACACATAGATTGCAAGTTACAAATAATCAATTCTAAATCTACGGCATTGGATAGCTAATTTAGTACAATGTGACTATGCGGTATAGCTAGCTGGATATAAATAATCTAGTTATTAACGACACCAAGCTCCCTGTAAAATGAATATAGGATGTACTAAACACATCAAAGAATTTTAAAGAGGATTTTCGAGATTATTTATTTCTAAAATGTTGTTGAATTTGCATTTTCACGCAACGTGTATTTTTTGTTGTTCTTCAAAACGACTGTTTTAATTGAAAAATTGAAGTTCTTGTTCATTTTATACCAAAAAATTAGGAATTCAAAGTCAGATTGGACATCGGTGTTTGATGAGGGTTTTGAATACCGTTTCCACTTGAAATCTTGTTAGGCATAACGAGACATCTCAAAGAATCGTCCGAGACAACCATGTTGCTAGAAAAATTGAAGTTTGAGATTATCATAACAAAGAATAGATAAATAATGCAAATTCAAAATTAGGTTGAATTCAGATGCTCGACAAGTTTGAGTTAATATTTATCGTGAAATACTCGTATAAAAAAAACTATCAAGTACCAAAGAAAAAACTCGTTAAACTGTTTATAGTTGTCAAAAAATAACTTCAAATAATATTTTTCGAATTCATAAAACTTATTTCTAAAAATCCACATGAAATTATGTTTTATAGTAAATTCTAAATTCTAATTGAGGAAAACGGTCATGCAAACAGGGTCTTATTCTTAACCGTTTTAACTGCTTCAAAATTTAAAAAAATTTGCCATTTTTTCCCAACCCCTATAACCTACCACCATCTACCTCCTCTCCTCCCTTTCATTCACAAATTTCAATTAATTTTTACTTCCTAGATTTCTTCAGATGAATGACAATTGAAAATCGCAACAATGGAAGAAAATGAGTGACTCAATCAAATTAATGCAAAGCGTTCAACTACCGCATTGAGCCTTCAAAGTTGTTGAACTTGACCAATCAAACACCACCATTAGAGCAAAATGCCCTTTTCTTTATTCATTCAAGGCTCCAAACCCACCTTTAAATCCTTCTCAATTTTCCCTTTTCACACTTGCATTTTCTTGGTTATTGAACAATTTGCCCTAAAATGTGGGCTACTTCAGAAGATATATTTACAGGAAATGCAGGAAATAGTAGCAGAGATGATGAAAAGGCTCTGGTGTTGGCTACTTTGCAGAGGTCTCCTTCTTATGTTCAGGCCCGGACCGCGGTTTTTCGCAACCTTGGCGGAGAGATGTCATTGATTGATGTTAGTAAAGTTAAAGATGCAGAACAGAGGCAAGTAGTGGATAAGTTGATTAAAGCTGTCAATGAAGATATGGAGCTGTTTTTCAAAAGAGTTAGACAAAGATTTGATGCGTAAGCCTGACTGAAAATTTAGTTTTTTTCTTTACTTTTATTGTTTTTTCTATTTACACTGGGTGTTTTGTGTTTGTCCAAATAATTGGTTATACCATACACAAATACTGTTTGATATAGACTTTTGAGAATAGATTTTGTAAAAAACTAGGGAAAATTAGACACGTGCAAAATTATTTTTATTCAGAGAATGTGCGATTGATAATGAGTTTGGAAAACAATAAGTTTTAAAGAATCTCCACCAAACATGGGGCACAATATACTTTTTATGTTTTTCTAGAACTTGTTAACTCTATATAAATGAAATTTTACTCCGATGACTAATTCTAGAATTTCTGCATTATTACTTTATTTTGTTTTGCTAGGTTGATTTGATTGCTATAGGGTATCTAAGAACTATGCATCTGCTTTTCTCGTTTTCATGGATTTGGTTTAGTTTTGGGCAAAAGTAACTCTGGTTTATATTTGCTTAATTTAAAAATTTTTTTTTTGAAGTGAGAAGATTTAAGATTTCTCTCTCTCTCCTGATTTATGAATAATAATAGTTAGAATGATACTGATATAACAAATGGTATTCATTCATAACGTGTTTGGCTGGTTTCCTTAACGAGATAAAGAAATATGGGAATTAAAATCATCTCATAATTGTATAGTCAAATTGATTACAGCATAGTTTGTAGATGTCAATTTTACAATTAGATGAATGATGTCTGATCAGTTAGTTGTTCACAATATCATCCCAAAGATTGACCTACAAAGGAGTCGGTTTAATAGATTGCTATCTTGAAACTTCTTACTGGAAGATTTTAGATTGTTATTTATAATTTTGTGAATCTAATCCATCCCTTTTATTGACGTGGCCCAAAGTTGGAAACGAAATATGGTAAAGACTTAAGAGTGCTTCATTCCACTGATAATATTTACAGATTGTCACGATAGAATTTACAATCCCTGTACTGGACCGAGTTAACTTCTGCGTATTTCTTGGTTCTTAGCACTTTCAGTTTGGACTTCTCCTCGCAGTATTTAGAAATCGATGTTATGGGACTATTTTAGAAATGGTGCAATCTGATTACTTTATAGGTTGCAGATAACGTGAATTTGACCTTCAGTTCCATGGGTGGAGAACTAAAAGTCTTAAGCCTAATATTGATTCTTGCAAATATGCAGTAGTGCTATTGTTGAGGGATGCATCTGGTGGGTAGCTAGTTTATTGATATACTCAAGCATCTTAAATTTCTAAAAGTTCAAAAACCATCTGTTCCATTGATGGGAATTCCGAAAACAATTTCCAGGAGTTGCATATTCTATTCTACTTTCTTATTCTGTGGCTTCTGGCATCAATGTCAATTGTTGGGACATGTACTAAATGCCTGAAATATTCCAATTTGACCATGTTCATTGCAGAGTTTATCTGGAATTTCCGAAAGTTGAGGTTCGATTTCAGAATCTGAAGGTGGATGCATTAGTCCATGTTGGAAGCAGAGCACTGCCAACCATCCCAAATTTTGTTTTTGATATGACTGAGGTAGGCATACAGATTAAATTTTTTTAATAAGGTAAAATCATTTTACCCAGAATTGTTCTAATACTAATTTTCTGTGGGAAAATGAAAAAAAAAAAAAAAGACTTTCTTGAGACAGCTCAGGATTTTCCCTGGTAGAAGAAAGAATTTATCTATATTAAACAACATCAGTGGAATCATTCGTCCTTCAAGGTAGATCTCGAGCTTCATTGAATGGTCAAATCAACACTTTCATTTTAATGAATGTATTTGATCATTTAGGTTGACACTCCTTTTGGGCCCCCCAAGCTCTGGAAAGACTACATTTCTTTTGGCTCTTGCAAACCGCCTTAGTCCTTGCTTGCAGGTACAGTAGCATCATTTTTAGTATTGATATTAATGCCCTTTATCAATTTTCATCATTTAAAAACAATTATTCAGTGAAACTAGTTAGATTTTTGTATAGATCGAGTATCTTAAATAGGCCATTCTCGGACTTAGATAAGAAGAAACTGTGCTTTAATGCATCTAGTCTTTTCCTGTCTTTCTGGTAAACAATAGTGTCTTGAAAGCGAAGTAAAAAATATCTGTAGTGTCAACATTTATTTTCTAAATTGCAGACTCAGAATTGACTCAGATAATGTTCATTCAATGTTGGTGTCCGTGAGCTGTGTTGATCTATGTATTAACTCTATATGTTCACAGGTATTCTAGTGAAATCTGAACGTAAAATTTGGTTAGCTGTGTGCTACAATGTCCTCTCACGTTCAGTAAATCCACGCCGTTGTATAATCAAGAGCACAAAAATGCTTTTCTTCTTGGAAAATAGAATGACTAGGCATCTCCATGTTAGAACATATTCTGTTGATTTCCTGGAAATTTCAAATAATTTGTTATCCCTACATCTGGTTGGTCCAGGGGAAGGCCGAACCTGGAAATTTAACTTACATAATTTTTATTTTTGTCATTAGATAGTGTGTTTTTTTCTTCTTATTAATGTAGTAAAACTACTTTGAAGATGTCAGGGAATATTACGTATAATGGACACAATCTGAAGGAGTTTACACCTCAGAGGACTTCAGCATATGTTAGCCAGCAGGATTGGCATGTTGCAGAGATGACAGTGAGGGAGGTCCTTGAATTCTCAGGAAGCTGTCAGGGTGCTGGATTTAAGAGTGGTACGCTTTATTAGAGATTCATGATATGCTATTGAAGCAATTTTATAATTACGCGTTTCTAATGAACGTTATGTGAAATTTGGTTGGGGAACCATCGACTTTTGGCATAGAAATGCTTAGGGAACTTCTGAGCAGAGAGAAACGTGCTGGAATAAACCCGGATGAAGATCTAGATATGTTCATCAAGGTACGCTTTCCTGGTTGAAATTTCTTAGATTAGTGTGGCCCTGAATTTGTGTTCCAAAAGCGCATGTTTATGTCTGTATTGAAATATTGGTTTTCTCCTAGGCAGTGGCACTAGGGGAGAAGACAAGTGTTCTTGTGGAGTACATCATAAAGGTACAATAAATGCCAACTTTTCTCACTTCTGAGAAAAATAAGGTCCATGCATATTTTAGTCCATTATTGTTGCATTACTTCTCATATATCCATCTGAATTTTAACAAAGATATTAGGATTGGATATGTGTGCTGATACATTGGTGGGAGATGAAATGCTAAAAGGGATCTCTGGGGGCCAGAAAAAGCGACTTACCACCGGTAGCTCATTCACATAACTTTCATGTTGCTTGTTTGCGCATGCGGAAAATGTTCAGCATTGGTTACTAACATACCATCATTTTGGCAGCTGAACTGCTCGTGGGTGCATCTAGGGTCCTTTTCATGGATGAGATATCGACTGGACTAGATAGTTCAACAACTCATCAAATTATCAAATATCTAAGGCACAAAACGCATGCTTTTGATTGTACAACACTAGTATCGCTTTTGCAACCGGATCCTGAAACTTATGAGATGTTTGATGACATAATTCTTTTAAGTGAGGGGCAAATTGTGTATCAGGGACCTCGTGAAGCTGCAATTGAATTTTTCGCATTTATGGGTTTTAGGTGTCCATACAGAAAAAATGTTGCCGACTTTCTACAGGAGGTACTATTTTGGGGTGCTTTGAACTAAAGTTATGGTTTTTCTTATTGTTGGGCTCACCTCTTGAATACTCATGAGCAGGTTATATCTGAAAAGGATCAACAGCAGTATTGGTTCCTCGACAATCCTTACAGATATGTACCTGTTGAAAAGTTTGTAGAAGGTTTTCAATCCTTTCGTGTAGGTAATTCTTTGTCCCAGGAGTTGGCTATTCCATATGACAAACGTTACAACCATCTGGCTGCTCTATCAACTAGTACTTATGGTGTAACAAGGGCCAGGCTTCTGAGGATTAGTTTCTCTTGGCAGATACTACTACTGAAGCGGAATTCGTTTGTATTTATTTTCAAATTTATACAGGTAATTTTTTTCCTCTCCAAGTCTCTTGTTATGTCCAAAGTGAAATCTTTGATCCTGTCCTCATTTTAGTTATTGGCAATCAGAACCTAAAATAATAGTAGTCTGTTGTACTATACAGTATGAGCCGGAAATGCTCATACAGGAAAAATGTGTTGCATTTGCAGCTTCTTCTAAATATTTTGATCATAATGAGCGTGTTCTTCCGACCAACAATGCATCACAATACACTTGATGATGGAGGTGTATACCTTGGTGCACTTTACTTTGCATTAGTTATGATTCTTTTCAATGGATTCATGGAGGTCCCAATGTTGATAGCCAAGCTTCCCGTTCTTTACAAGCACAGAGACCTGCACTTCTACCCCTGCTGGATATACACTCTTCCCTCTTGGATTTTGAGTATTCTCCCTTCACTTGTAGAATCTTTTTTATGGGTAGGTGTCACATATTATGTTATTGGCTTTGATCCCCAAATAATGAGGTATTTATTTCTTCGACACATTGTTTTGTCCTTCTTTCTTTTTCTGCTTTTTCGATATCGTAAATATTAATGCATATCTGACTTGCTTGATGATGTGCAGATGCTTAAAGCAATTCTTGTTATACTTCTCTTTGCACCAGATGTCAGTAGCCCTTTTCCGCGTGATGGCATCATTAGGCCGAAATATGATAGTTGCCAACACATTTGGATCTTTTGCATTGCTTGTTGTCATGGCTCTAGGAGGTTTTATTCTTTCAAGAGGTCATTTATAATCTGTGCCGTAGCTGTTTGTTGCTTGGAATATGTTCTTGACGGGTCATTTGGCCTTTTCTTTTCCAAAAGAACAATACTATCACACTAACTTTGTGATAACCTTTCTCATTCCAACAGATAGCATCCCAGTTTGGTGGATCTGGGGTTATTGGCTTTCCCCTTTGATGTATGCCCAAAATGCAGCTTCTGTGAATGAATTTCTGGGCCACTCCTGGGATAAGGTATAATGATATATTGGTTTTATTTCTGTCTAATCTGCATTTCTGTTCTATCCATTAATGCGATTTATTCATTCCACTCTAAAGGATGCCTTCAGTTGTTATGTTTTAGGAATCTGGAACTTATATCCTGAAAAACTATATGGAACAACCATATCCTGAAAGATAATGCATATCAGACACTGGTCCTCTCTCGGGATTTATTGAAGTTATACTACGGCATCACACTTTCTTCAAACTTTGAGGCTTTTAGCATTTGTTTTCTTCTTTCTGAGGTCAACATCAATTTAAAACTCAGAAAATAAGAAAGAAAAAAATGGTTACAGAACCACAACTTAGTTGTCTTTAAAAAACCTATTTAGTTACTCAGTTTTTAATGTATTTAGTAGAAGGGAAAAGAGAGGCTTTCTGCTAGTTATTAGTTCTTCCTAATCATTCAGTACTTGACCTTTTTCCTATTGTATATTATACCTTTTCTTTCTGTAACTGATAGAAAGCAGGGAACAACAGTACTTTGTCTTTGGGAGAGACGTTACTCAAGATTCGCGGCTTATTTCCCGATAGCTATTGGTATTGGATTGGCGTTGGAGCATTACTGGGATATACACTACTATTGAATATTCTCTTCACATTAGCTCTGACTTACCTAAACCGTAAGTTTCGTCCCAAAAGATCCTATATATCATAGTTTCCATATTGCAGACAACTCGGAGATTCTGATTTCTAGTTTCTCAAGTATATTGATTATCAATCTACCATACGATTATCATCAAGTAAATGTAAATAGGCATCTACTTTATAGACGTCTAAGCTTTGATCGTTAAAACAGATGTATCATCATCATTATACATCAAATCATAAGATGTTCCCAGATTATGGACGTGTTTTCTGCCTCATTCCAGAAAAAAATAGTTATGTTTAGTACAGAAGCTTTCTTCATTAACTAGTCATGACTACTGCATAAGACAAAATAGTGACAGATGATAGTCCAGAAAACTCATAGAAACTTTGAAATTCAAATTTAGAAAGCACTTATTGATCTGTTAATTGTTATTAGCTCAAATTGATCTATAAGAATTTGCATAGTCGTCTGTAGAAGTGATCTGCCATGTCTCTCTAGACTAGCAATAAGGCATACGTGTAATTTTCCAGCTACCTTATTGGTCCATTTAGTAACAATCAAAAGCCAAGTAAAATTGTCTTTTCCAATCTTATGCAGCCCTAGGGAGTCAGCAAGCTGTTGTTTCCAAAGAAGATTCCAAAGACAACAAGGGACAAGAGAGTGAATCGTCCATCATTTCTCTCAGAGAGTTTCTTCAACATTCATACTCGTATAGCGGTGTGCTTAAATGATTGTACTTGTTGATTTTTTTCCTTCTCTTGATTTGGCATAAAAAGTTTAGTAACATTTACATTTTAATCCAGGAAAGAACATTAATAAACAAAGAGGCATGGTTCTTCCTTTTGAACCTCTTTCAATGTGCTTTAGCGACATCAGCTACTACATAGATGTTCCTCTGGTATATTAACAGCTTATTTCTCATACATGTAAAATGTTTGGAACTCCATATTAGTATTGATAAATTTATAATTCTTACCTTTTTTATGTTTAGGAACTGAAAGGACAGGGCTCACCAGAAGACAGGTTGCAGCTACTGGTAAATGTTACTGGAGCATTCAGGCCAGGTGTACTTACAGCATTAATTGGTGTTAGTGGTGCTGGCAAAACTACACTCATGGATGTTTTAGCCGGTAGGAAAACTGGTGGATATATCAAAGGCAGTATCTATATTTCAGGATATCCCAAAAAGCAAGAAACATTTGCAAGAATTTCTGGATATTGTGAGCAGAATGATGTTCATTCCCCGTGTCTGACTGTGCATGAATCACTTCTCTTTTCTGCTCATCTCCGGTTATCATCTCAGTGTGACCTCAAAACACAAAGGGTATTACTTTGTTTTTTTCTATTTATTTTCTTCTATTATCTCTAATATCTGATCCTCTGAGGATGCTTTGTATCGGTTTCAGGCTTTTGTAAATGAGGTCATGGAACTGGTCGAACTAACTCCACTACGTGAAGCATTAATTGGTGTACCTGCAGTTAATGGTTTGTCAATAGAACAAAGGAAAAGACTGACAATTGCAGTTGAGCTTGTGGCCAATCCTTCTATTGTGTTCATGGATGAACCGACTTCAGGACTCGATGCCAGGGCTGCTGCTGTTGTGATGAGAACTGTGAGGAATATTGTTGACACTGGACGGACAATTGTTTGTACTATTCACCAGCCCAGCATTGACATTTTTGAATCTTTTGATGAGGTTTCCTTTTTTATCTACTAAGTAATGTTTACTAAAATTATTGCTTTTATTGTACAAAATCTAATTTTCTAAATTGTTTCTTCTTGTTTCTCTTTACATTTTTCTCAGCTTATACTCATGAAACAAGGTGGACAGCTCATTTATGCTGGTCCGTTGGGAAACAGATCTTCTAAACTCATTCACTATTTTGAGGTGAACTCTTTTTGATTAATTTCCTATCTATGTTCTTTACTCTATTCTGAGCCTGACACTATCTCACAACTCCGTGACTATTCTGTCGTCATTTTCCTAGTCTATTCGAGGAGTTCAAAAAATCAGACCAGGATATAATCCAGCCACCTGGATTCTAGAAGTCACATCAACTGCAGAAGAAGTTCGCCTTGGTTTGGACTTCGCACAAATTTATCTCCAATCAAATTTATTCCGGTATGTGTCTTTTTCTTTCATGTAGGAGAAGAAATTTCTATCCAACCAATATCCTCTTTTTATTCAATTTTTTTTTTACCGTTTCAGGAGAAATAAAGATCTGGTCAAAAGTTTAAGCAAAGCAGATAAAGATAATGATTTAAGCTTCCCAAGCAAATATTCACTGTCATTTTTTGGTCAATTTCTGACGTGCCTTTGGAAACAAAACTTGTCCTACTGGCGAAACCCACAGTACACTGCCGTGCGCTTCTTCTACACTGTGATAATTTCATTGATGTTTGGAACAATATGCTGGAAATTTGGTTCCAAAAGGTTTGCTTATTTAAAACTTGAATCTCCTCTATTGAAAGCGATTTCTGTCAAAAGGTTTAATAGTTAGTGTTTTTCTGATGAAAGAAGAGAGGAATAAACACCTGCATGCACTCTAATGTGCATAAAAAGATCAAGACTTGTCGAGCAGGAGACGTGATTGTTATTAGTGGTTCTTATTGTCAAATTGCCACATATTAGCGATGTGTCATTCCTAGAAGAGAAATTATATGTCGAGATTTGATTAATAAATATATTATCTAGATTTTCAGAGACCTTGCTGGCTTAGAAGCCCTGATGAGTCCAATCCATTCGAAAAGGAAAAGGTTGCTTGCATGGCTTCAATAATATACCAATGTTAATCCATTTTTCATTGATTTGGGCTGAAGAAACTGCCTCTTTCTTCTGAATTTCTCCTCTACTCCCCTGTTCTTCCTTTTCTTCCCCTCCTTTTGTACTTAAACTGTGTCTTCTGCAACTGATAGTAAACAAATCTTCTGGTTTTGACTATAAAATTTGACAGAATTTATCTTTACAGGGAAACTCAGCAGGATATATTTAATGCTATGGGATCCATGTATGCAGCTGTCTTATTCATTGGGATCACAAATGCTACTTCTGTGCAACCGGTGGTTTATGTTGAAAGGTCTGTTTCATATAGAGAGAGAGCAGCAGGAATGTATTCTGCACTACCATTTGCCTTTGCACAGGCACGGAATCTTGCATTCTTCTTCTTCTTCTTTGATTTAATTTTCAATATAGTTAATGTTCTTGAAAGGATATTCATACCATTTTACCAAACCTTTTTTGTGCAGGTTATAGTTGAGTTCCCATATGTATTTGTGCAGTCACTTATATACAGCACTATCTTCTACTTCATGGCCTCTTTCGAGTGGAATAAATGGAAGTTTCTTTGGTACATATATTTCATGTATTTCACATTACTCTACTTCACCTTCTTTGGAATGATGACTACTTCTATTACACCGAATCACAATATTGCTGCAATCCTTGCTGCGCCATTCTATATGATGTGGAACCTTTTCAGCGGCTTCATGATTTCCCGCATGGTAACTAATTCCTCTCACTATCATTTCTTGAGTTTCATCGTCTAGCCACTAATGCACATCATCATTTTTTCCAACCATATAGCCATAGTCCTCAGTAGAATGGGGTGTGTATCAGTTGTTACGACTCTCCAACTATTGATTAAAGTGAATATTTTAGAAAGGACACATACTTTATATATCATCATTAGTAAAAAAAAGACTCTCCTTGATGAATGTGTTGATTCACAGTCCCTCTTATCGTGGTTTTTCTTCTTTGATCAGAGGATTCCCATATGGTGGAGATGGTATTACTGGGCAAATCCTATAGCTTGGAGTTTATACGGGCTTCTCACATCCCAGTACGGAGACATAAACGAATCAGTAAAACTTGCCGATGGCGTTCACTCGGTGCCAGTAAAGCAATTGCTCAAAGATCAGTTCGGGTTTAGGCATGATTTCTTGGGTGTTGCTGGTATTGTTGTGGTTGGTTTCAGCATACTTTTTGCAGTCACTTTTGCATTTGCAATCAAATTCTTGAACTTTCAGAGAAGGTGAAGGAAAGGATGAAACTCACTTTCACATTTGGGTTATATAGTTGTAACATATTCGGTAAGGTGGATCTGACAATATTGGGTAATGCTACATGTACACACACTTTTACACAATCATTTACACCTCTCTCACATGGAGGGGGGTCCACGATTATTTTATTATGTGTGGGCCCCCTTCCATGTGAGAGAGGTGTAAAAGATTGTGTAAAAAATTGTGTACACTTAGCATTATTCGACAATATTAGTTCTTAATCCTGCCTCGTCTAGTATTTTGCGTCTTGTTCCAATTTTGTTCAAAGGCATAAAGAAAGAAAAGGTTCCACTTAATGTTACTTTTTGGGATAGTCAATTATTACAACAATCGTTCTTAGGTTCACTCAAACTTTGTATAATACAAGGATTATTAATTTCATTTTCAAGTGTCTGCTCAGACTAATATTCAAGATGAATTCTCAATTATAATCGAATGAAAGTGATGATTCTTTTGAATGCAATAGTAAAAAAATCTATGATTAATTTTCAAAACGATAACATAAAGTTGGGTTTGATGGAACGTTATACTCTTGGGACAAATTCCATTTCCCTTCATGTTACCAAGAGCTCACGTTCCCTATTGGTGGGTGAACAATCCAACACTTGGTGAATTCTACTTCACAATGATAAGAAGAGCCGACATCGAAGGATCAAAAAGCAACGTCGCTATGAACGCTTGGCTGCCACAAGCTAGTTATCCCTGTGTCTGTTTGTTTGCCATTTATTTCTCATTTTTAGAATAAATCTTACCGTTGCAACCTGGAGGAGCAGCATTTTTTTGACCAAAATGTGTCATGGTGGGTCCCAACCGGTTGAAAATAACAGTCAAAATTTCCATTTTTTGCCAAAAATAATAGCAAACAAATGAAGATTTCGAACAAAATCAACGCAAAGATGTCTTTTTTTAAAAAAAATAAAAATAAAATTTTAATATTTCAAATAAATCCCTAAATTCGAAATAGGGATGACAAAAAAATTCGATAAACCTGATACTCGCGGGTCCCCGTCCCGTTAACCGCTTAATTGGGTAACGGGGGCCCCGCCCCATTAAATTTTTTTTTTTTGTACTTTATCATTCGAATTTACTCTCTCTTTCCAATCTAAATTTATTTTAATGATACAGTAAAATACTATTAAAAGATTCGAGCAATTCATCGTTGAGTGAAGGCTTGAAGTTTCTGTTTTTTTGTATCGTCTCATTTTCCATTCAAGCAATTTCAAGTATATTATGGTTTGTGCCTTCCTACATTAACAGACATTATGAGTATACTCATTATAATAATGTGTAAATATTTTTCCAGCCAGAAAAAATTGGTTATGCATCCATCTATGGTGAACTAGCAGAATTCAATGTGGAAAAAGTTAAACTCGTATCCCATAAAAACCGTATGAGAAGAACTGGGAAACATTATTTAGTGGCCCATCTCATAAACTTGCTTTTTTTTTATTAGAATTCAATACTTTAAATGAAAATTTTCATTAATTTTAATAGAAAATAATAATCAAAATTATTTGTCTAAATCTAATGAATATAAACAATAAAAATAAATTATTAAAAACTAAAAAAAAAATATATATTTAAACGGGGAAAGACCTCACCCCGCCTTGGCTCAAACTGGTAAAGGGGCGGGGAATTTCTTAGGCCTCCGTCCCGTTGCCATCCCTAATTCGAAACTACCGGTGGTCTAATAAAAACCTAAAATTATTGTACTTTCAGAAATCGATTTACTAGAAAATAATAATGTGATTATTAATACTCGACTACACCTGATTTCCCGCCGGAATCCGCTGCGCACTGTCACCAGAAAAGGCTCAGCAACCTTTTCAACACACAAAAATGAACTGCATTTCCACCGCCTGCGGCGGCTGCCGCCGCATCGTCTCTTTAACCACCCTCCTCGTCCTCCACACCACCACTCCCTATAACCCCCTTATAAAACTCCTTTCCACTCGATCAAAACTCCTCCCAATCCCCATAGCACCTCTTCCCAGTTGTACCCCACCAAACACAATCCCACAAGAAAAACACCTACAGCCGCCGCCGCCGCCGCCACCTTCCCAAAACCCTAATCAAAACCCTGATTTCAGCCCGACTGAAGTAACCATCCTTTCCAAAATTCTTACAGACCCTTCCAATCTATCCGGTCCGGCACTCGAGGAAGCGCTTACGGCAGCCAGGATTAACCCGGTCGAGGCCTTGTTGCTAGAAATCTTCAAGCAATTTGATTCCTCTCCAAAACTCTTGTTCACACTCTTCCTCTGGGCCGAGAAGCAGCCCGGATACTGCTTCTCCCTTACTGTCTTTAATGTCATGGTTAATGCACTAGGCAAGGCCCGGGAATTCGATACTGCTTGGAGCTTAATTCTCGACAGGAGCAATAAAAACGCTACTGAAAGGCCTGATTTAGATACATTTGCAATTATGATTCGGAGATACGGACGTGCAGGTATTATGTTAGTGCGTGTCAATTTGGGATCATAGCTTTTTCTTTGTAATTTTTAATTTTCGTTTTTAATTAGTCAGAATATTTTCATATTGATTTTATGTGGAGATGCTGATACATTGATAGTTTTGTTTGTAGTTCTTTTCCCGAGTCCTTGTATGCAGGTTGTTTATTTTTTAGCACTTGCAGTTACAGGAACGAAAATTTTATTGTTTCTTATCTAGATTCACATTCTTGGAGTCTCTGTGTTCATTTTTTTGGATTGGCATGCAGGCCTTCCATTGCCAGCCATTAGGACATTTGAATACGCGGCTAGTTTGGGCTTTCTTAATGATTTGGAGTCGGGGAAGAGTTTGCTTGAGATTCTATTAGATTCTTTGTGTAAAGAGGGACATGTTAGAGTAGCATCGGAATATTTTGATAAGCGCAGGGGACAGGATCCAAGCTGGGTACCATCTATTCGGATATATAATATTCTACTGAATGGATGGTTTCGATCAAGAAAGCTAAAACATGCTGCAAGGCTTTGGATTAAGATGAAAAAGGAGATGGTAAAGCCGACTGCTGTAACTTATGGCACCCTTGTTGAAGGTTTGTGCCGTATGCGCCGTCCTGAGATGGCTATGGAATTAACTGATGAAATGAGGAGGGAAGGAGTTGAGGGTAATGCAATTGTGTATAATCCAATAATAGATGCATTAGGAGAAGCTGGGAGGTTTCAAGAGGCATTAGGGATGCTGGAAAGATTTTCAATTCTGGAATCAGGTCCCACTATTTCGACCTATAATTCACTGGTGAAAGGTTTCTGCAAGGCAGGGGATATTGAAGGGGCTAGCAAGATTCTTAAGATGATGGTAGATAACAGATGTATGCCAACTCCGACAACTTATAATTATTTCTTCAGATACTTCTCAAAATTTGGGAAGATCGAAGAGGGCTTGAACCTTTATACCAGGATGATAAGATCTGGATACGAACCTGACCGCCTTACTTATCATCTGCTGGTGAGAATGTTATGCGAGCAGGACAGGCTGGATTTGACAACTCGAGTTATAAGAGAAATGAGGGCTAGGGGATTTGATTTGGACTTGGCTACAGGTACCATGCTAATCCACTTGCTATGTAAAATGCATCGATACGATGAGGCTTTTGGAGAGTTCAACGACATGATTTGTAGGGGCATTGTTCCTCAGTATCTTACATATCAGAGAATGATTGATGAATTGAAGAAACAGGGAATGACTGAAATGGCACAGAAACTTTATGATATGATGGCATCAGTTCGTCACTCAACGAAGTTGCCTGATACATATAAGGGAGTTGGGGACTCTTTACATGAAAGGAAAACATCTATAATGCAGAAAGCAGAAACAATATCCAATATCTTAAAAACGTGTAAAAACCGAAGAGAGCTTGTCAAGCGTAGAAATCAACTTGAGAGTGCTGTATCCAGTGCACACCAGTTAATAGATAATATCAAGAGAAAAAATGATTTAACATGAAGTGCTGATTTCTCCGTGTAGCAAAAGAACAGTAAGAATAGCTTTCAGTAGTTCATTACTAAATGAAGGCGATGCAGCAATCCAATTTGGTTGAGAGCCAAACACATCTGCAGTAAGTGCATGTACACATCTCACTATTAACAATGCCTAAAGATGCAACATATTGCAAATAAAGTTGGTGCTTCATGTGAAGGGAGAAGATAGAAATGTTTTCACTACTTAGATTGTGGGTTATGGAACAGGAAGGCGTTGGGGCTTTCTTCAGAAAACTTGGGTGTTATGAGGACTTAGCTTCACTTTTTGCAGGAAAGTAAAATATTTTTGGGAACCTGAATTTAACAAGCAATGTTGGGTCTGATTGAAATATTTCTTCAAAATTACGCAGTCGATAGATGGACAGTGAACTTGGATAGTGTACAGGTGAGATTCTTTACTATCTAATAGCTTTCTGAAGTTCTATTATCTTTAATATTAGATTCCGATGGCTAAGCAGTTTTCTCCACCGTCCCATCTTTTTCCCTTTCTTCTCTTCTCCAAATTAAGTGTTCACTCATGTCTTCTCTTATTCCTTCCTATGTATGTAAATTCTTATCAGACTAGCCAAAGGGTTTGCCTTTATCAAGAACGTAAATACAATCCATTTTAACTTAATACATCTTGATGCATATTATGGGAGAGGATATTTGTATTTTAATCGATGCTTCGCAAGCTGAACCACCATCCATTTTTTCCTTTCTCATGGTGCAGCAGGTTGCTACTCCTGAGAGTCATTTATTAGTTATTACTGTTGAAATACTTGTTATTATTGAAAACGATATATATTATATAGTTGATTTATAGTGGAATGGCTCGAATGAGATTTGAAAGTGGTTCTGGAGCTCAAGGATAAATATTTGACTGAATTTGGGCATCAAATGATCCAGCATTTGCTGGAACGCTTTGCATGTGCGAGGTGTTGGTACGTGCATGTGAATTCGTTGTGATTTTTCACACGCGCGAGTTCCAACTAGGAAAAACCAGTTTTTAGTTTCTGGTTCAGAAAGTTATGTCTATTCGTTATTGATTGCCTCCTTTTCGAACCATAGTGATGTTTTTGATGCCATAATGTTATATATGAGTTGAGAGAAAATTTATTTGCACAATTACAGTTATAGCCCATGTTTGAGCCACATTAAAATTTTCATTCATTCTTTTATTCATTTTCAATCACACATTTTTCAATAAAATAACATTTTCAATCATATCAATAATTTTTCTTTCTTTTTCAACCACACATTCTCCATCAATCTACTATTCCAAAATACATTCTTCCAAAATAATGTGGCTCAAATACACTCTATAATCTTCATAGTACTCTCTAAAAATTCCCATTTCTCATAATTTAAAAAAATGTTCTTGTTCTTTGAAGAATTTATATTTTTGCTTGATGTAAATTCTTAAAGATTGATTATTCCTCTAAACTATTTGCCGGTTATTCCCACAAGCAATCATTAAATTGAGAGGGAGCAAATATCGTTTTAGGACAGTGTTATCAACTTGTTTGAGCCTTGGTTTATCATATTCTTCTTCTTCTCTTGGTTTGGGTTTATGTCTTCATTCTTCATACTTGCCAACAATTGCCTGTGTTCAGTGTATGTTTTCTTCGAAAACTTGTAAAGGCCTATATATAGAGCCTTTGAGTCTTATGTATAACTCCTCTTCAGCGAATGAATATATGTGCGCGTGCATAGAAGAAGTTTATATTTTGAATTACTCCTCGACCTTTTCTTTGTCATATATATATATGTATTGGACTGAGACTAGGAATTTGGATCAAATGTTGGACTTTTTCTATAGCTAAAGACATGCAAAATGTAAATTTTCTATGGGCCAGTCTAAGCTAACAGTCTTGTCAGGAAGATTTCACACATTTATTGCTGATTTTTTCAACTGGGCTGTTGGATGCATGAAGTGAGATGCAACGTTAACTTACGTGCATGCTCGTGACCCAATATTGGAAAGAAAAATCCAATACTATCCAATATTATGATATTATCCAATTCCCCCTACCAAAAATGTACTAAATATCTTGTAGACTGGTTAATAGCATATATTTTTAAGTGTATTTCTAGGATCTAGTATAAATAACATACTATTATTAGTTAAGAAGGTTTTTTTTATATTTATTTTCATCTCATTTTCTGCTGTCCAGTTTATTTCTTTCTTGTTCTGATAGTCTCTGAATATGCTCACTTATCAGTTTTGAGGTAATAGCTGGATTTTGAGCTTTTACAGGCAGTTAATAAAAGCTTGACAAACAATATTGAACAATATTGATGGTGTTGCAGGTTGTCTGATGTATTTTTGGTTGTGATCATTTGTATTATTATTCGAGCGCGCCAAAAGCTCTGCTTGGCTAATTCCTGAGTAGCGAATTGAAGGTGAGCGTTTTCAATGACTTACATCTTAGTCTGCTTCTTGAAGCTTATTGCGCTACAAGGCTTGACGAGCAGCCTTTCTCCGCGCTTCCATTGAGGGAGGCACTGACCCTACGCTGCTCCTTTGAGGTGCTTTATTTATTGTGTTTGTGGGACTTTTCCAATGCTTAAAATTACTTGGTAAAAGCTCTTTTCATTAATATAATGCATGTTTTGTTGAAGTAAAAAAAAATACTTGTCGATCAATTTGAAAATGTAAAGTCCCGAAAATTGCATAGAATAAAATTTAATTATTCTAAATGCTATATTTTATATTTTGAAAAATTGGGGGACTAAAGTGATATATGTATTAAATTCAATATTATTTGGACCAAATATTTAGATATTGATAAAGAGATGATAAGTATATTAATGTTGAGCTCGTTGGATAGCTCGTATTTAATCATCTATTTTAAGCTCGAGAAAAAAGTTAATTCGGATAAATAAAGTTAAAGTTATTGAGATCGAGATATTTTACCTTAAAATTGTATTTCATCGAGGTTAATTATTATTTTAAAATCCCTTTCCAGTCGCTTGTAGTATGTGGTGGTTTGATAGATTTTAATAGCATGTTTCCTGAATTTAGACTATAGCAACTGTAGGATAGGATAATGACTGTGATTTTTTTTTAAATTTTTTTTCGTTGGGATGAGATAATGATTAGTTACTCTTGACTAAGACTAGTTAATTTTTTCAATCATGCTACATTAATATCAACTTTGGCAGCTATTTTGATATCATCCGAGTTAAATTTTTATACATTGATTTTAAAAGTACTTTTTTCAATCAATGGTTAGGATTCTACACATAGACGGAGTGTCAAAGTTGATGTCAACCATTGATGTAAAAGAAGCATAATTGTTTTTTTCACACGGCTCTCGTGATTTTATTCAACAAAAGGTCAAATATCTTTCACACTTTCTCCCATTATCCCACTAAATTATAAATTAACTAACAGTTATATATAGTCCTTGTTTGGTACACATTCTTTCAAAATTCATTTTCAACCACACATTATTCAATAAAATAATATTTTACATCACATTAATAACTTTTCTTGCATTTTCAACCACATATTCCTCATCACATCACTTTAAAAAAATACATTCTTTCATTTTAATGTGCACCAAACAAGCTCTTATATACGTATACCCTTCCCTTCTATCATTTAGTACTTTTATACTTTACAAACAACCAAATAAATTCTTTTTAAAAGGCTTTGGAGAGATTTGTAGAGGCACAAAAGTCTCCAATTTGGTAAACATCAACTCAAGGTTTTCAAATATTTAAGGTAGGATTACGATGTGCAAATGATTTGTCCTTTTAATTTATTTTTTCATGTTGATAAATATTATGCTAATGAAAGTTATGATATGCTAATGAAATTTATGATATACTATGAAATGGCCACCCGATATCGAATTTATTATATATTATGAGCTCTTACTGATTTCTAAAGATATGATACGACGTATGACATTTTTTTATGTATAATTTAATACTGTTATTTGGGATTGCACAGTTACTCGTGCCCTATTGAGTATTTCTATATACTCATCATTTTCCCTTACTTCTCACAGGTTAGAATGGGTCAGTTGGCGAGTGAAGAGGTGATGTCGTTGTGTCAGGATTCATTGGATTCAATAAATCAAATTCAGTGTAACGTGATTGGAGATTTTGTTCTGCAGTAAATTTAGTTTCATTTTGTTATGGACCTCTTTGCTCGAGGAATTTGAAATATATTTTAATTGACTATTTTTATCAGTCAAACTAAAATTATATTTGTTGGCTATGATATGTAAATAAAATGACATGTGCAAAATGAGATGACCACTGAAAAGAAATAAAATGGCAGAATACGAATTGATTTCGCGTCTCCCTGGACTGATTATTTAATTTCGGGTTGTTAATTTCACATGTTACTGTTGATTTATTTAATTATGAAATAAATAGGATTATATGATTAATTGAAGGATAACATTGTTAACAATTCAATTTTACTAATCATTTTACGGTTGAATGCTTCTACTAAATTGTAATTAAATAATTAAGTTTTGAAACTTACATTTCTAATTCTTCAATTATAGATTGATTTTTATTTAATCTTTCCAATCATATACGAATAAGATATGATGTAGAAAAATCTTCTTTATTTCCTTTTTATAAATAAATAATATAACAACTCCGAGTAAATTACCATTACATAATCTCATATATATTACATGCCATGTTGTTTAAATTTTGAATGAAACTTTTTGATAACGATTTAGATTTTAAAATTTGGGTCGTTACAGAAGATGTTTTAGAGAACCTGAAATTTTAAGAGGCTGTTCTCTTTATATTTCAGTTTTGTGTTTTGAATGTTCATTTTGATATTGTTGAAAATGTGTTCTTTTTGACATTTTGAAAAATTATTTTGAAAACACTCAAAACACGTTTTGAAAATTTTGATTTGATTATAACTGAAAACACTCCTTTGTCGTTTTGAGTTTTCTTTGTAAATTTTTAACTTATTTTAAAAAACGCGTTTTCGAAAATATGAAAGAGAAATCGTTTTCACTGTTTTAAAAAATCGAAAATAGAAAACGGCTGAAAATGGTAAAGAAAACAGACTCTAAGCTTGTATAAAAAAAATCTCTTATCTTCAGCATTGAGCTTATATGAGAAGTTGAAATTTGTAAATAATGAAAATCTTAAGTATGAATTAACAAATATATGTCATTTTTTGATATGATCAAATATAACTTAATCATGACACATGATGTGTATAATCCAAAGAAACACACTACACGTACAGAAGGAAAATCAACAGAAATGGGCCAGTATGTGGGGCCCACGCATTTTTTTACTTTTTTTAATACACAATGGGGCCCACCCTTTTGTGAGTTTTCTGGTGCATTTCCCTGGCTTGATTTATGTACAAATGGATAAAACCTAATCCAAATAAGAGTAAATTGTACTTGGTGTAGATATTTTGATTTTTAGCACTCAAATTTCTAAAACCATCTGCGTTTGAAGTACTTTTATGTTCTTTTAAAGACACGAGCTTGTTACAATTTGAATATTTGTAGACGACTACCTTCGGTGCTATCCACTGCGATAACCTCTTCTACTGATTTTATTTTGAATTAACTCGAGTGGAAAAAAGTTTAGAATTTCGAGGTAAGAAAAATTTGGATTGTAAGTGTGACCTTTAGCCCTTATTTGATAATCATTGTTCAAAAACTCTATTTTTTTACGTACTCGTTTTTAACCAAACATTAGCATAATAAAATATTCTGCATGTAGATCCAAAAATTTACTGTTCAAAACTTTGATTTTGTCTAAAAAGGACCACAATTCTATTTAATGAGGTAATTGCACTTGTCATTTAGTTGATAGTTCTAATTTATTCTAATCCGCTGTGATGTAACTTTTCAAATTCATCCACAAATTAAGACAAATCGTGTCAACTAATATGTATTAACAAATTCACCAGATAAGCAAAGTCCAGCTGTACGTGATACTTTATACTGTTTTTGTATTTACTTTTGTCTTTTCTAAACAAAAATACAATTAATGCACTAGCAAAAAAAAAAAAAAAATTTATATTCGACACAACATGTTATGGGTATGAGACGCAGAGTTTTACTTGTTTTACATATATGTGTATTTATTTGACGTTCGGAGGTGCGAGTCATTTACTGGAGTGATAATGCAGCAGATCTCACATCTCAACTCGTTTTACCTACTTCAAAAAATCACTTTTAAGTAGAATTAAAAGCATTTTTGTGCTTCAAAGTGAGCGAATAGAAATGCCGAGACTGGTGTAAACAACAACAAATAAGTTAAAACTAACAAATCAAACATGAATGATAGATTTGAAAATGTCTGAAAATCCCTCAAAAAGACGACACTTTGTCCATACAGCCGCCCTGGCCACGTGTAATAGAATCAAAATCAAATGCAAGGAACCTCATTTCATAAATATGGGATTAGATGATGATAACAACAACATGATTAAGGTCTCAATTACATGGCAACTCTTTCAGAAGCCTATAGAGACAATCCTATTGATCTTCAACATATTATTCCTCTCGATTTCGACTCCGTTCACGAGTTACCTGATTCACATACATGGTCTGATCACGTCAATAATCTCTACTTAGAAAAATATACATATTTGAAGCACACACCGATGGATGAAGAATCTAGTGTACCAATTATTGATCTAAGTGCTCCAAACGTTGTGGAGCTTGTTGGCAATGCATGCGAAACGTGGGGTATGTTTCACGTGGTTAACCATGGTGTTTCCTCGATTCTTGTCGATGATGTCGAATCACATGCTCAACAGTTGTTTTCGCTTCCAACTCAACATAAGTTGAAGGCCCTACGAGCACCCGATGGAGCCACCGGGTACGGCGTTGCTAGGATATCACCATTTTTCTCCAAGTTAATGTGGCATGAGGGCTTCACCATTATGGGCTCCATAGTTGAGCATGCAAAGGAACTTTGGCCCCACGACTATGAAGATTTTTGGTAAGGTCATCATCCACCATGTTAGATATATATGTTAATTAGTGGAACTTTCATGGCTAAAAACTTGATAAGAACGTATAAATATAATCATTTAAATTTCATCTTCAACAAATCGTTCGTCTACATACCAAATTCTATTTTCAAAGAAAGTCCGTACAACTTTTTAAAATAGTACTCAAATCTATGACTTATATAACATGTTGAATTATCCGTCTAAAAATTTAAGCAGTTAAAGATTTTGTTTTCGACAATAAACTCCGAAAAATAGATTTGAACTCATTTTTCTTTTTTAATCCTATTCCTATTCCTATCCACTGCTATCAAATCGATCGTACAAACCGGTTTTGTTTCTTCTGCAGTAATGTAATGGACAATTATCAAAAAAAGATGAAATCATTAGCCTATCAAATCATGCTTCTAATCCTCAAGTTCTTGGACATAACTAAAGAAGGAGAAGAAGAAATGATTTCTACATCATCTATCTACGAATGCGAAGGTGCACTGCAACTGAATTCTTACCCCTGCTGCCCGGATCCGAATCGAGCTATCGGGTTAGCCCCGCATACCGATTCACTCCTCCTCACTATTCTTCACCAGAGTGAAACAAAAGGGCTTCAAATTCATCGAAATGGAGTCGGGTGGGTAGCTGTTCCTCCAGTATCCGGAGCCTTAGTTGTGAATATAGGAGATTTATTTCACATTTTATCGAATGGAAGATTTCCCACAGTTTATCACCGTGCAGTTCCGAATCAGGATGCGCATAGAATTTCTGTTGCGTATTTTTATGGACCTCCGGCGGACACCATTGTTGGGCCACTGAATAAACTTCCGTGTCCAAGATATCGTTCGTTGACAGTGAAAGAGTATATTAGTCTCAAGAATAAGCATCTTGAGAATGCTCTTTCTTTGATCAAGTTTTGATTTTTATCATGTTCGGGTCTCACTGTCTAGCCGTCAATGTCCCTATCGAGTTCGTGTTAGAGATAGTGGGGTAGTCTATACATATCTCGATCGAGATATTAATTTGATGAAATTAGATAAGTATGTTCTAGCTGTATTACAAAAAAGTCGCATTCGATCCTTCTATTAAAGATTTGAGATGGGGATGTGATCATGTGATTTTTTTGTTTGAATTAGGAGATTCTTACGTGAAGATATGATGTTATATACCTTGATCATGTTGCTTTTCTCTACTTAATTGTTTCTATTAGTTAAAGATTTGAGATATGGAAAAGAGGGGTTGGGGTTTCAGTTTCGCTACAGGTACATTAAGTTTGACATCATGGATAACATTGTTTAACGTGACAATACTTTGAGTCATTGATTTTTACGACATTTATTCAAATCAATGACACAATTTTTCACGCATTCATAATGTCATCTAAAAATGTACAACTAGCTTAATTCTGGAGGCTATCATGTGATTTTTCCATTTGAATTGGAAGATTTTCACGTGAAAAATTATCTGTTGAATATTTATTTAATTGTATCGTGCCCACTTAATTACACGTACCTTAGTAAAATGTATGCATGTTGAATTATCTGTATGCTTTCATTTAAATTTTTTCGTACGAGTAAAAACCCAAATCCAAACCCAAAGGATTAAACTCTTTTACCAGGGCAATGTATCAAGGTTCAAACCCAAGTAGTTAAATAATACAGACCCGACCATGTTCCGTGCCTGACCTAATTTAAAATAAATAAAATTTACCAGATGCAGACGAATTTGGTACATGACAAGATCAAAAACAATATTTGACGTTCTTTTGTTTGACATGTATACGTAGTTTGAAATAGGTAGACTTGACAATATTAAAGAAGAAAAATAATATATAATCCTAATACTACCTACTCGAGCGCCATGTTTGGTAGGAATTTTTTGAGTAGGTAGTCGATATCACACAACCCAATCCATAAGAGCTTCTGCAGTAAATTTTTCACTGGTTAACAACAGCAGTCCAAACAGACGACAGTATAGAGTTGGTTCCTAAGTAAAGACCAAGGCAAACTGAATTATTTGTTACAAAGCAAACACAAACTACATCTGTAGAGATCCTGCCAAAATAAATCTAGAAATTAAAAGGGAGACGGGGGACAATGTCGTCATTTCCAGAGCTTAACAATTTTGTCATGGCTAGCAGAAGCAACAAGACCCGAGGCTGTTGATACAGCCAAAGAAGCGATCAATCCATCGTGAGCTGGAAGGGTCATTGTCTTCTTCTCGGACATGTTCCAAAGCTCCAGTGACTGTCAAAAGTCGTCATTATAGTTAGAAAAGGCGTCGCTTGGAACTTAGTCCAAAAGTCTTGCGTGGCAAAATGAGAAATATGCATGACATGAAATGGAGTAATCTCGATCCGTGTCTCTATAGCCCATGAAAATACATTATTATTTAGGGGAAAATGAAGGGCTGGAATCGATCGATGAGGCCAACCACTCAGGGTCCATGGCATCTTACTTGTAGTGATTAACTCGTATCTTGAGGCACCGTATACTAGACAGCACTGGTTACAGTGATTGCAAAATGCTCAGTGAGAACTTTACAATGATTACACAGATTGAAAATGAATGGTGAGTTGGAATGTACCCAACCAACCACAGTGCCCGCTAACTAAATAAATAACTCATGGCTAGAACGTAGGATGGTCAACCCATGGTGATGGCATAGACGAGCAGTTCACAGCTTAATCATCCCAACAAGTACCCATTTTCTTTTAGCTTATTTTATCGTCTTCTTTGGGTGTAGAGGTGACGTAAAATTCTAATAACATAAATATGAGCTCGTTGGTTTACTCAAAAGACAACCTATACAAATTCAGAAACTGCGGAATAAAAAAACCTTATAGAATGCAAAAGAGATGACTTGCCTGGTAACAGCCAATAACCAGCAATGAAGGACATGTAGGATGAAAAACGCAGGAATGGAATTTGTTGCCATTACAACTAAGCTCGTACAAACAATCACCTTCACTCCCGGATCTCAGTGTCCAGACTCGCACTGAATCCTCACTAACAGATGCCAAGAGCTCGCCAGAAGTATCCCAGCAAACAGAATAAATCGTGTTTGTGTGACCCTATAGTGATACAGTCAATATGGACAAATCACGTTAGGGAGAAGACATCAATTAACAATTCACAAACCAGTGGCAAAAACAAGGAATTGGTAAGATAAAAGAGAGAATTCATGTCGAGAAACTGCAATTGACCAACACTGATTCATAATATCATCTTGTAAATATAGATACATAAATTAATCTCCCAAATTTAGCCTGATGATTGGTGCATAAAATACTGATTCATGCATTCATATCTAGAATAAGTGTCCATTCAGATTTCTTATTAATAATGCAAATAATAAAACAACTTTCCATTCTTGTTCATTGAACAATCTGCAACAAACATGCGAACGGATTATTTAGCCCTTGTTTGACATCCATTTTTTTCTCTCTCTCTCTCTCATTTTTTTCTCTTTCTTCATTTCAACCACACATTATATCAATAAAATAATATTACACATAAACCCAAAAATCCTCCTTACTTTTTAACCACACATTCTTCCATCAATCACTATTCCAAATCAAATTCTTCTCCAAAATGGGTGTCAAACACAAGCTTAATTCAATTATCAATTATTGGCCAACTCAATCAATTTCTAGACCTGTATTTTCTTTTCCAAAATGTGAGCCATAAACTTGAGCAATTTTTCAAGATCAGAAATAATTCTATTAGGCTCTCGTTTCAGATGCTAATTAACTTGCACGAGTACATCATTTTTGCTTTGAAAAGATCATAAAAATGATCACAAATAAACAGAAATTCATAGTATATATTTAATTTTTTTTAATAACTGTTTTCAATTATTACTTGCTGGGTACATGTTAAGCATTACGTTAAGTGCTTGCTTACAAACTCAAAAAAAATTATCGACATTCCAAAATATCATTGCCATCCATGCACGGGGCTCAGGGGAAACTAACCTTCATTGAATGTTGACAAGCCAGTGTCTCCGCATCCAATATGGATACAACATTGTCAGCAGCTGCAGCAAGATATCTTCCCAGACGAGGTTGAAATCTGACTTGGGAGGTGCCACCCTAATCCAACCGAATTAGGAAATATAACACAAATTAAATGCCTTCACAACTACCTAATGAGGACGGGGCACGGGGAAAAATAAATAAAAGTAAAGGGAAAACAGAGAGTGGAAGAAGACATCGTAAAAGTTTCTAGCGTAGTTTTGTCTATGTTTTTAATTTTTACCTTGGAAACTCTTGTACAGCTGCCATTGTTAATACTCCAGAATCGTATCTCACCATCACTGTCACATGAGCAGATGAGATCTTCTTTGTTAGGATGAAAATCCAGGGACATTACTCCGGAGGAATGTCCAGTAAAGGTACGAAGTGAATAGCCCGTCTGCAATACAAATCAACATTAAGGATAAGCTAATGTCATTGCATATTACCAATTTAAATGTCTGGGAAATTCCACAGCCCATCCATCCATCCATGATATAGGGGAAAGGGATGTTGTCTCCCTTTGATTTCCCACGTCAAAAGCAATTAGAGGCTGTTAACCTTCAGACAAACAACACCTTTCTCGGTGAGAACAAGCAGGTTATTTTTTTAAAAATATATATATGTGTGTGTGTAAAAAAATGTGAAAAAGGTATCAGACTTGCATTGATTGATGGCATTGCATGGAAAGATATTCTTAATGAATGTCCTTATTCACAGTGAAAAAAGTTTTTCCAAATAGGATATGATGACAAATCATTAACAAGCAGAAAATATTTGGTAGAGGAAAACGGAAGTTTGTGAAAAGAGAACATGCAATTATATAAACTATTTCCCAACTAACATTGTCGGCATCCCAAACTCTGACAGTTTTGTCAAAAGATGATGTTGCAAGGCGTGCCATGCTTGGACTAAAGCGAACATCAGTAATAAATGACGAGTGTTCTTCGAGTGCAGTTTTTGCCGTCAAATTATCAGTATACCACAAAATACCCTGCACCAATTGAGATTACACGCATGAGCTAGAAAATTCAACAATGCTCAACGTTAAGTTTAGAGCTGCATAAATTAGATACTGAGAGCATGGTTGGCTAAGCTCAAGAAAAACTAAAAAGTACTTTTCCAAAAGTAGATACATAAAAAAGTAAATTTTTGAACACTGGAAAACAAAAGTAGCTTCTAAAGACTCTCGACACAGTTGGGAAAAAAATGTTACTTAAAAGCTTAGCCAACGATGCTCAAAAGAATACTTGTGCACTTAAATGGAAATAATTGTCCGTCCACTTTGATAATCACCTTTTTGTCCTGGCCACCAGTAGCAAGCAGCTTGCCATCTGATGAGAAGTGGCAACACACAACTTTGCTAGCACTGGCATGAACAGAACTCACTTCTGTAAATGTGAACCCTGAAGATAATTGACAACCAGTCAGAATAAATGGGACACAGAATTGAATTTCAATTATTTTCCAAGTGTCCCACACAGGAGAAATTCCTCTTAAGTTATTATCATGTTTGTGATTTTCAAAAGTGGAAACACAATGGGAAACTATGAGAAAAAACTAATTTAAATTTGCATAATGGTGCTTCCACAAAGAATAATGTTACTTATACATAAGGAGTTACATAATGGTTGACATACAGATGAGGAGTCAAAAAGAGTGGGGAGTTTTTTTTTTTTTTGGTTGAAGAAGTTCTAACCTAATCATATCTCACCATATCATATATATGTAAACTATTATGTACGTGTAGCACCATCGTTCCATAAATAGATATGACCACAAACCTAAAATCATACACATACTTTACAAATTTGAAAGGCAACAGTTGAAAATAATCTAAAAAACATAAGTAGAATAAAAAGGAAGAAAATTACGCAAGATTTTTTTTTTTTAAATGTAATTGTA